AACAGATAGATAGATAGATAGATAGATAGATAGATAGATAGATAGATAGACAGACAGATATAGATATATATATATTTTTATTTATTTATTTATTTATTTATTTATTTATTTATTTATTTTGTAAAGGATAACTGAATTAGTTGGATATCATCCTGAGGAGCTGCTGGGTCGTTCTGCATATGAATTCTATCATGCACTGGATTCTGAGAGTATGACCAAAAGTCATCAAAACTGTAAGTCACACTCAAAAACTATAATTATTAGGTGAAGCATGAATTTAATATGACTCTAGTCAGCCAGGATGATGATGATGATGATGATGATGATGATAATGATGATGCAAAAAACTGTGCTACTCAGAACATCACACATCTTAAGAAGATACTTAGTTGATACCTAGGATGCTGGCAGCATTCCGTATCAATCACCAGTGCCAGTCAATAATATTTGTGATGCATTTTTAAATGTTCAGTTGACTAAGTTTCACATTTAGTGAATAAAAGTATAATCATCATCATCATCACTTAGACTATGAGCCTTATGTCTCTTTACAGAAGCTGTCAGGGACTCCAGTTGGAGGTGTATTTCTACAGATATCTGTATAGAGGGCTACCTGTATGTCTCTAATTCCCTGTGAATGGTGTGATTTGGAAAATGATTAATGTTGAGAACCAGTGACCATATTATTTAAGAAAACAAAAAGCTGGAAGGGCCAATTTTTTTATGATAACTTGTGCATTACCGTTGTCACTATGGTCAGGAGAGAATGCACATGGGCAGGATTAAACAAATGTCTCTTTCCTTCTTATTTGAGGGGGAAGAGTTTTAGGTGTTAAAAACCTATTTTATCTATATGCAAAAATTGGCAGTGCAATCAGAGGGAACCTCTAGTGTGGGATAGGCTTAAATTGATAGGGGAGTTTCAAGTGACTCTGAGGCCACATTAGGGGCTGAATTCAACTGTTTCCTCATTGAGAAGAAAGGTAAATACATGTGTTCCAGTCTTCCAATTTTCTTACCAATGACTTGAACTCAGTGATAGCCTCACATCGCAATGAACAAGGACATTGCATTCAATTTTGCAGCTACTGTGATTGTTGGCTGAGCAGAGACCAAAACATCCAGAAAAATGATTGAAGCCTGAGAACCCTGTCAGTCAATAGGAGTGCTGACTTACCTCCTGCCTAACAAGTACTTAGGAGCTGAGGATGAGGTGGCAAAAGGCAACAATTACTGACTTAATATCCAGCCATAAATACTCTAACAACTAAAAGCTGCACACAACAGGAACCGTATAAATATAACATGTAGAACAGTCCAGTGCACATATTCCTGAGAGAAAGAAGTTCCCTGTTGATAGGTGCTGACATGAGCTAGAAGCTTGGATGAATTAATCTAGATTGACCCAGACTGAACCCTGTTTCGTCATTCATTACAGACAGACTTACCTATACATATGCAGATATGCCACCATTCAGGGCATAGGGTCAGTGTCCAACTAATTAAATTGGGCAGTGGTGCATTTCAGTCTCCTGGATCAAACACTATGATCTACCAGGGCCAAGAAGCATTCCTTCTCAGTAATTGTGCTGCCCTTTGGAATGAGATATTGTATCCCCAGACATCCATTGGCTACCACCCTGATAATGTTCAGAACATCTTTAAAATTTTGACTGTTGTTCCAGGCTCTCCAAAAGGATGCTTGTGGAGACCCTGTTGGTTATGTTTTAAGTTACAGGGAATATGTTTGTCTGGATATGTAGGATTGTCTACTTTAATCCCCTAGGGGTCATTCTGTATCCAGGTTTCCTCCAAATATGATAAATAAATAAATAACCTTGCTAACTGAGGCTAACACTGCAATATATCTGTGGGTCTTTAATGCACCATAAAAGTTATTGCTGCTTTTAGCTTGTAATTGGAAAGTTAGTTTTTCTCAAGCAGAAAATAAATAAACAAAAAACCTATCTTGATGGCATTTGATAAATGTTATAAATGCTAACAGGAAAGGATTTACCCATGTTAGGGACTTGGTAGTGGAGGATTTTTTTTTGTGGGGGTGGAATTCATAATGAAGGGAAAAGGAAAAAGTAGATGTTTTATGAAACTATAAATAAGCAAATAGCTGTGTGAAACATGTTACAGGAAAAGCAACCTGAAGAATTTGTATATGGATACCAGTCTGCTGAGTAATACAGTTATCAGAAACAGAAATAAAGGGGCTATTTAGATCACTGAATCCAATCCCCTGCTCAGTGTTTTGGTAGCGCTGTGGCAGCTCAATAGCTTAATGATGCTGGAGATGGTGTCTGCTCCAAAGGTTTGAGTCCTAGCACTGTGTGGCAGGATGAGCTCCCATCACTCACCTCAGAGTCTATCCACCTAACAGTTCAAAAGCATGTTCTGTGCAAGTAGATAAATAGGTACCATTTCAGGGGGGAGATGAGTTGGTGCTCCATGCAGGCAGGCAGATTCCTGCCAGTTCTGAACCTTTCCGTTTGCAGCACCTCTTTGCAAGTCAAGTCCAAAGAAGGGAGGGGCCCTTTGATAACACTGCAGGAGAGCTGCTCGTCTTTGATGCAAAACTAGCTTGCTCTCCTATGGCGCACCTTGGGAAGAGTGTGAACATGTCCTACAATGGAGCTGGTAAATGGTCAGCCAAACTACTACTCTGTAATAGCAATGTGGTTTCCTGGCTAATGCAATAACACCATGTGCTACTACTGCTAATAAAAATAGTGCATTGGTGGGGAAATATTGGAAACCCTTTAAAAGATGTCTATTTGCCAAGGTTCAGAGACCTGCACAAGGTACTTGAAGGCCAACCTATGGATGGCCATGTTTTAGAAGTCTATAGTGACTCATGCAACCACACTATAATAACTCTGACAGCTTTCCTTTCTTAATGCTGTATATTTAGAACAACAAAACATTAACTGCACAATCCTATGTATGTCTCAGAAGTCAGTATGACTCAGAAATCATTCTCATCAAGATTTATTAATCCTCAGATAAATGAAAGCAGGACTGCAGCTTGTTCTATTTTTATTGCTGTCTGTCCTCTTGTCTCTTAGTTCCTTTCATATTGTTTCTCACTGTAGCTTGTTACATAATATCTAAAAATAGATGCTAATTATAGTTACCTATACATTGTCATTGCAGAATAGGGTCTCAGTTTTCCTATGGCTTTTTTCTCCCTAAGAACAAGCATTGAGTCAAGTAGAGGAAAAGATTATGTACTGAAAATGAGGTATTAACATACATTCATGTGGGGATTTTTTTGTGGTCTTACTGGTTTGCTTAAATGGGTGTCACAAACTTCATGGCAGCCTTTTTAGGAGAATACTCACGATATTTCATAAATTTTCTTTCTTGGAGACTTCTGGTATAGGCAAGCATAAACAATTAAATGCCAATTCTAGTTTCAAAAGTGCTTGTACAATGTCCTGGCACTGCTATTTTTATTGGAGAATTAAATACATCTTGTTTGTTTGTTTTAAAAAAAGAGATACAACTATTTTAATGACCAAGGAAAAAAATGAGTAAAAGCCTCATTTCAAACTTTCAAAACTTTATTGGAGTTATCAAATGCAAGTCTAAGATAATATTAGATACATTCACTGCAGTTATTAATAAAAATAAGGAAGATGGGATCACAATTAATTAATTAAATTAATTTGACACCAGGCTAGACACTGGGAAACAATTAGTCCTAGTCCCATTTTAGGCATGTGACTTCGACTAGTATTTCTCTCTCAGTCCAACCTACCTCACAGGGAAGTTGTTGTGGGAAAAATAGGAGAATGGAGTAGTATGCATGTTCACTACCTTGAGTTCTTTCTAAACATAATCAAGGCAGGGAGAAAATAAACTAATGAATAAATTTACATTTTATTGAATATATGATATGGGGAAAGAGAATGAGACAGAATATTTCTATGTACTTATGCTATAAAGTCATCCAAATGGTATTAATGCTAATACAAATTTTCATTTGAATTTTCAGTCTGTTCTGATCCCACTGAACTTTATTATTCATTTTGGTTGCCAGCCTTTAAAAAAAAACCAAAAAAAATCTAGCATATATGTATTTTTGCCATTTAAAACAATTGTAGTCTTTTAAGTTAGGAAATTATATTCACTAAAAACAGGTAGCCCTTCACTTAACAACCATTTATTTAACATCAGTCCAAGGTTACAATGGCCTGAGAAAATGTCACTTATGATCTGTCCTCAAAGTTATGATTGTCACACCACTAACCCTCCACAATCATGTGGTCTTAATTGGGCACCTCCCAATGGCTCTCCGTTGCAGCAATTTGCAATCATGTGAACGTGATGTGTAACCTTTCCTGTTGGTTTCTGACAAGCAAAGTCAATTGGGGAAGCCAGAGTCACTTAATGATCCATGATTCACCTAATGGCTACAGTAAAATTGGTCATAAAATTGGGTTCGATTATGTGATGACTTGTTTTCTAGTGCATTGCTTAGCAACCAAAATTCCAGTCCCAATGGTAGTTGTAAGTTGAGGACTACTGTGGGCATGTATGTGCAGCTGTGAAGGGATATGGTCTAGAAATAATATCTGGGTAGAAGGAAGCCACAAAGTGCTCTATAGTTTAGAGAGTAAAGAAATAGGAGATCATGCTGTAATTTGAGTTGTGAAGTTGTAGTTTATTGTTCCTTAACTGCATGTTCACCTGTATAGCTGTGTAAAAACGTAAACGTTCAAATTTATGCAGATGAAAAATATCTGCTTTTTTAAACTATAAAATCACATTCGTTAGTCTGAAGTAAAAGAAAAAGTAAGAGAAGATGGTGGGGGGAAATGTTCCAAAACAATTGCTACAGAATAGAAAACTGTCATGAGAGTAGTCTTGGAAAAATTGGAATATTGAAAAAGAAAGAGCATCAGGAGTATTGGTTTAGTAGTACATCATGTGCCATGCAAAGAGTCCAAATCACAGACACAGGACAAAGTGATAATGCAGCGTGCTCTGGGTTGTTATGAAGCTGCTAGGTAATTCAGATTTAAAGGAGCCCTGCTTTGACTTAATATTGTAATATTGTATCTTTCCAATCTTGATTTAGGATATGGCTTAATCTAATGCATGTTCCTGCTTCCTGCTTTATGGTAACCACTTCTGAATTTAACAATAGCATCACAGACTAGACTTCTTCCAGAAATTCAGCTATTTATGACTACAATTCATTGTGAAAACTTGAATCAGAGGAGGGACGGGAAACAGCATTCTAAATTCAGTATGTTAGGGCAGTATCCTTAATAAGGCAACTCATAATATGCAAGATTTCCAGGCACTGGACAAGAAGGCATATGGGAGGGGAAAAGAGCTTGCGTTAAAAACATGAAGTCTGCTTTTAACTGTAGTCTAAAATGAATTATTGAAGGGAATTGCAAACTTTTAGCCTTTTTAATAAAATCAGTTAGTTGAAAAGGAGCTCCTCACCCCATTTCAAAGTTCACTCCTAACTGCAAATTAACAGCATTATTTTTTTTAGCTTGTTTATAATTTATGAGAAATTGCAAGTGAGCAGTGGAAGGCCAAATTTGTTGCTAACACCCAATTTATTAAAGGTGGCTAGTAGCATGTGCAGACTGCATAGTATGTTCAGTGATATGTTTCCTTTTTTTGTAGCAATCAGCTAGCAGTTACCCTTCAGTTGGCCTAAAATGAAAGAATTATTTATTCACCATTAGATATCATTCTCCACTAACATATCTGCAACAGCAACTTGTATCAAATCAGGGTGTGACTTGTTTTCTTTTAAAGATGAAAGCACTAAAACTCCTCTGAGTAATGTAACAGGCACATCACATGATGATGCCTTAATGAGTTCTCGATTAAGAATCCCATGTAATAATGTTTCACAGACAAACAGAAACCATTTGCTTAAATGATTTTCAGACAAAATCTTTGATTATTATTTTTTTGTTTATGCACCTCACTAATCTAATAATCAAAATATAATCTCTTTAAGAGCAAGATTATTCTGAATGCAGAACTTCACCAATAAAGGGATGCAATAAAAACATTAGAGGAGCGCTTTGTAGATTATACACAAACAAAGGATTTAGTATGGCTATTTGTTCACCTTAAAATGGTTCTATGGCTGTCTCAGAAAAGTCCCAGGCTATTGTTTCTATAATAGTCCTGTTTATTAAGCAGTTCCTTAGTAACGTCTATTTACACTAAATGGGAACTCAAGATGGCTTACATACCACTCTATTCTTGCATTTTTACCACAACAAAAACACTGTAAGGAGGTTGAGCAGAGAGATTGGCAGACCTGAACCCAGATTTTGCCGGTTCTAGTCCTAGAATCTAATAATACCACATTAATCATAATACCACATTGTATAAATTATAATAATAAAATTTGATGGATATTTACCCAGAAGCAAGTCCCAGAATTAGAGCCTCTCAGATTTTCCATTTGCAAAATTGTGCAAAGTATTTTTGAAGCTGGGATTTAAATCGTGGAAGAATTTTTCAGGCTTTATAATGTCAAGATAGTGTGTGTGTGCGTGCGCGTGCACATGCGTGCGTGCGTAAAATCAATATTTACAATATCTACAAACCCATCAAGCAACAGTCATTGTTTTTCTTGCCTTTGTTGTTGCTCTTTTGAGTTTTTCATAGCCTATCATTGGCTGTAACTATAGTAAATATATTATACTTCTAAATTCTCATCTAAATCAGAATTAAGCCAGCTTCAAGGCTGGGGAAAATGACAACCTGGGGAATCCAATGCTGGAAACTGCCTCTAATCTCAAGGAGGGAATCAGATGAATTCTGTGATCCTTGGGAAACTGCCACAGAGCTCATACAGAAGTACCGAAATCCATCACAGATGTGACTTCTGCCAGATGGAGATATAATTGCCAATGGGAATAATGGAGATTGCCTGGTTTCTCTCATCTGAGTTTTCTCCTCTCTTAGAAGATGCACCAATGGAAAAGGAAGGTCAATTAGAAGCTTGCAAGGGTTGAGAACTGAAGTGGGCCCTTACTGCTTATTGTCTTGCTGCTCCTTACTTTGTTTCAAGTGAATTAATCCTTTAACAGATCTGTGATGCCACATATTTCTGATGCTTTTAGCAAGGTATCATAATACTGAAAAATGATATTGAAATTCAAATTCTCTTCTTTCCATGTTTCCCTTTCCTTCTTTATCCCCAGTGTGTGGAAAAGGTCAAGTGGTTACAGGGCAGTATCGCATGCTAGCCAAGCATGGCGGCTATGTGTGGCTTGAGACCCAAGGAACAGTCATCTACAATACTCGGAACTTGCAGCCTCAGTGCATAATTTGTGTTAACTATGTTCTAAGGTAAGGCAGCTGAAATCCCAAAGAATGCTAGCTAAATGAGAACAGACGAAGAAGCAACACAGTCTGAGCAGTTTTGCATGTTTCTGTAGGAGGTCTCAAAGATGTTTTTTCCTTGAGGAAGATGTTTCACTTCTCACCCAAGTTCTGACTGAATGGTGGGAACGGAACTGATTTGAAAGAAGTTTCTTGGATGAGAACTATAATGCCTTCCTCAAGGAAAAAACAAAGTCCTGTTGCCTTTTGAGAAAGCATCTTTGGGACAGCCTTTGCCTGGATGACTGGAACCTCCCTAGACACTTTTAACAAAGCTTTATGCAAATCTCTCAAATAACAGGGAAAGTATGGAGTGGGGAAACGGTAGCTCTGCAGATTGTTGGAGAATCCCAGGACTCAAGATGATTGTAAACCAACAATATCTAGTTGTCCCATGATCTTTGATTATCTCTCTTATTGTGATTCTTTGTATTTACATGAATACTGTCTTCCATAATACAAATATCTAACCCTTTATCTTGGTAGTGAAATAGAGAACAACGACATTGTATTCTCCATGGATCAGACAGAATCACTTTTTAAGCCTCATATGATGGCCATGAACTCTATATATGACCATGGAATTCCAGTGGCTGATAAGAGTGACTTCTTATTCAGCAAGCTGAAGGAAGAACCAGAAGAACTTGCTCAGTTGGCACCAACACCAGGCGATGCAATTATTTCTCTTGACTTTGGTTAGTAATATTTTGGGAAAAATGAGTGGTGAAAATCATCTTGTGTTTGTATTATAGTTAACCACAAGAGAGCTAGTAGATTGTAGCATCTCCCACAAAGTATCAGGTAAACACAATGATAGATGATGGATGGATGGATAATTATTGTTATGTTTCATGCTGATGATTACTCTAACTATGGATAATTTAATTCTTGATTAGATAGAGTACAAACAGCCAAGAATTATTTTGATTGTGGCAGAGTGGAAGTATGGTTAATTGACTGATTGGAATTGATTAATTAAAGTCATTTATTGGCATATCAGTGACTTCAAACTTACAAAAGAAGCATTAGTGAGCATTGAATGAGGTTTAATATCTCCCACTTAATTGAAATTTAGCTGTCAACTACTTGGGGAGTAAGATAAGCTTCCTAATCTGAATATATTTTCCAGTTTGTTTTCTTTTTCTTAAAAAAGTACTAGGATTTCTAGTACCAAGGATGAACTGAACTTGCTTGCCTCAATTTCAGGAACGCAAAACTTTGAGGAAATTCCCACCTATAACAAAGCTGTGATTGCTCCAAACACTCAGTGGGCTCCAGAAGGGAAGAACCAGGCATCCCAGACTGAAAAGCTGAGTGTGCCATCATTTACCTTGCCCCAAGTGGCCCCTGGCAGCACTACTCCCAGCGCAAGCAGCAACAGCAGCTGTTCCACCGTAAGAAAGAACTTTACATTGAAATCTGGCAGCATTGCCAGCTTTGAAGTGTGGGGTTTTTTTTTTTCCACCAGCACTAACTGGAGTTATAGTAGAAATAGTATTTTTTTAAAGGAATTACTTCCAGTTGCCTTTATCCACTGAACTCAAAACCAATATCAAAGGCTGATGGTGGGTGAGATCAATTTGGTGTAATCCTACTTCATTCAGAATGTGAAAATGAGAGAAAAGGAATGACATTTTCAGAGAATTTATCAGTAACACACACACACACACACACATGCACCCCAGTAGCTTAGAAGGGGAGCAGCCATTCCCAGACCTTAAGAGGTTAATATGGAAAGTCACCAGTCAATACAAAGGCAAGAGCAGGAAAGAAGTGCTCCCAAACAGAAATGCAAAATTTCCTATTACCTCATGTGATTCTATATCAATCTTTAAGGACAGAAAGCAGTGGGACCCAGTTTACAATTCTCTCACTCACTGGAGATTTGGCTAAATCAGCCCTGATCCCCGAATCAGCAGAAGGAGAAAAAGAAGCACAATTCAGTGTTCTCTTTTTTTGTGTCATCATTTTTGCATCATAATTTGAATGGGAAGCAAGACACAGTTTTGCAGCGCCAAGCGCTAAAAAAATGGGACTATCAGGACAGTTGGCCAGGTCTTTTCTTTCTGGTGTTTCATTCTATGCAGCTAACTGCATTACAGCCATTTGTGTACTTGTTGATAGTCTGTTTTCTCATTTCACCCTAAAGCCAAGTAGCCCAGGAGATTATTACACTTCTTTAGATGAAGACCTGAAGATAGAGATGATTGAGAAGCTTTTTGCCATGGACACAGATGCCAAGAATCAATGCAGTTCACAGGTAAGAGAAACCATGAATAAATTAGCATCAAACCAAAATTCAAAAGAGCATGCTGTTTCAGTTCCTTATATGCACTCAAGGGTCAGTGGCTACTGCTCTTATTCATTAAAATGGGAAGCAATTATAGTGCAGGGATTCTGCATTAATGGGAGAGATATAATGGAAAAATCATTTCCATTTCCCTAGACTTGGCTTTTCCACCTGGCAATGTCAAACTTGGGGCTCTTTATATAATGACCAGTTCTGGAAAACCGGTAGCAGAAATTTTGAGAAGTTTGGAGAGCCAGCAAATACCATCTCTGACTGGGGGTTTTACAGTATCCTTCCCCTGCCACTTCCACCAAGCCACACCCACAGAACCGGTAGAAAAAAAATTGAATCCCATCACTGATATATAATATATAGTATTATATAACATATCTGACAGCTGCTAAAACTTCCACCATTCTTAGTCTTGGTGCTATAGTATTGAAGTCTAAAACATCTAGATCACTCACATCCCACAGGCCAGGCGTGTTGGCCACTCCCGTGCCCAGTTTAGCAAAGGGTGGAAAAGTCACGATATGTCACATGACGATGCGAGTTTGACACCCCTGATCTAGATGGCTGGAGAATTTGGTTTAAATTTGGGAAACTAGGAAATTGCAAAGCCATATCTTACATGGAGTAAGGCATATTGTGCCTTAGACATTGTTCTGGGACATGCAAAAAGAGAGAGATTCTAGCTTTCTCATTTTAAATTGTAAATTTGTTTTTCTTCACTACCCCACCCCTTTTAATTTTCATTGGACAGAGTGACTTCAATGAACTGGATCTTGAAACTTTGGCTCCTTATATTCCCATGGATGGAGAAGATTTCCAGCTGAGCCCTATCTGTCAAGAGGAACGTCCTCTGTGTGAAAGCATCCAGCTTCCGCAGCACAGCTTAAGTAACATGAACAGTCTCTTCCAACCACTTGCTCCTTCTTCCCAAAGCGACTTCCTGCTAGAGAAATATTGCCAGCCAGGATCTGACAAAAATATGCCAGCAGGCCAAGGGACTCTGCCACTGGCATTCTACAACCATGGCAGTCAATCGTCCTCATTCTTGCTGCCCTACTATGCACAAGCCAACACTCCACTGTCTTCAATGGGTGGGAGACCAAATACACAGTGGCCACCTGACCCACCATTACAGTATATGCCAACAAAATGGAGAGGAATCAGCAATAAGTCTTTAACAAGCTCTGCATCAGACCCTCCATCACTGCATTTGTCCAGCATAAGCACAGATAGGAAAAGGTAATTCAACACAGAAAAGGATTTTGAAGATAATAGACAAAAGCAGTTTAAATACAGCAAAATAATAGCTAGATTTTTCATTTTCCACATACGTTCATGCTTGTGGAAGCAAGTGGTTGAATCAAAAAGATGAAAAACACAATATGCATTAATGGCAAAACAGAAACATCAGAGCAAAGCTTGTTATCATATAAAAATAGAAAATTGCCAGCAAAACCATTTGTCAAAGGGTCAGAGAAAGGTTGTGGTTTCGTATGCCTATTTTTAAATAAGTTATCAGAGCTTCAATTAAAGAGATTGTGTGCTAGGAGTTGAAAATGACTTCATGGCACATAATCATATCTCTTCATTAAAAAAAAAACACTTAAAAAAGTGCTCACATACTGTGAGAGTATTTGCACAGAGTATGTGTACAACACTTTTTCTAATCACTGCAGCTGAGCAAGGATTCCACTTCTTTCATTAGAGTCATCTTTTTATCCAAAATAGAAAAGGGGAAAACTTGAGGAAACAATGAGTGTTGTTTGACTCTCTGGGTGGACATCTGAGTGATCCACAGTTTTTAATCAATTTTATTTCTACTTTGAAATTTCTCTGAAAGTCACAAGCTGCACCAAGCATTTAACTATCTTTTAACAAACCCACATATTTTCAAAGGAGGAAGTGGACTGTATGTTACCTAGAAGTTATGCCAGGTGATAATCTAGTGTGAGTATCAAGGGCATTGTAGGGAGGGGGGAAATGAGGATGTAGCCCAAAGTGTTTATCCACCCATCCATCTGAAGTCCTCTCTTGGTTTGAGAGGAGCTTAGCATACATTCCAACCTTCTGAAATGTTAAGTCCTTTCCCCTCAGCATACCACAATGTAAGGGAGGAGTACAAAAAATGTAATTCTTGTTCCCAGCATCCCTGTGTGCCTCCCAGGAACCTTGCAGACTACACACTGTATAAGGAATCTGGTTCAGTTGCACCTGAGAAAATTAAGGAGCAAGAATTCCAAATCCACCTGTTTTTTATCATCTTTTGGTATGAGGCACTCAAGATACAAGGAAACCAAGTATCAGCTTGATAGTGCTTAAGGAGTTGGAGAAAGACTGAGGAGACTTAGATTACCAATAGTACTAAGTTACTTTGGGCTAGTCACTTTTTCTTAATTTAACCAGCCTCCACAATATTGTTGTAGAAAAAATGGAAATAAAGTTTACCTATGTTGCCTTAAGTTTCTGGCCAAGAACAATTGTAAATCTGACAAATAAAATCATAATTAAAATAAATGGTTGGTATATAGCCAATAGGGAAGGGATGGGATCCATATGATTGACTTTATCCATGAGGGGGTAGATTTCAAGCAACTCCCAGACCATAATTTATCTTTGCACTATTTATTAACCTTAGAGATAAACAAACTGCTAATGTTGACTTCAGGTATCAATGAGTGAATGTCTGTGGCGCAAGCTAGTGATTTGCCCACACCAGAGAGTCAACAGTACTTAGGCAATAGAAACCAACTGCAGAAAACAGTTGTTGAGCAATGGTTAAATAAAATGCTATTATCAATTTGCACAGCTCACTCTGTTCTTTCCATTTCAGCTTTTTGATAGGAGATTTTACAGAAATAATGTTTCAATTTTTATTAGCATTGACACACCTTATTAATGTTTATCATTTGTTAATGTTTATCATTGTGCCAGTTATGAATCTCATATCTTTTCTCAACTACTAACCACTTTTGTCTTAGTAAAAATATTCTTGCAAGCTTCTGTTTTAACCATTGATAATAGGAACAGATCTGAAAAAGATTTCTGCAGACCAACATGTCACATTTTTCTGCATTAAAGTGAAGTCTGTTTCAACTTAATTTAAAAAAAATGATTTGTTTTGATAGATCACTGGAAAGTTTTGGACAGCGTGGCATAGATATAAATCCAGCCCGAGTTGCTCTTGCCAACAGTCTGAAGTTGAAGCGGCAGTTAGATTATGAGGACCAAACATTTCAACATCTAAATGGGGTAAATTTATTATGACTGATCAATGTATTTTGCCTTTCGTGTTTCTAAATATAAGGTTGTACAAGTTTCTTTGAGTAGCATATCTTCATGTTTTGCCTTACCTACCATAGACACAAGATGACATATCCGGCCTTAATCCAACCCACTTAATGTTGAAAAGAATGAAACTTCTCAGAAGTGAAAACTGTGCATTGCATTCAGAAAAGAAGTCACTCAGCACAAGTGTCCTTAATGGTAAGAATTTTTAAAATTGGTAATATAGAAATAGCATTTAGACTTACATACCACCCTGTAGTACTTTACAGCACTCTCTGATCATTTACAAATGTTGGCATATTGCCCCCAACAATCTGGGTCCTCATTTTACTGCCCATAGAAGAATGGAAGGTGAGTCAACTTTGAGCTGGTCAGGATTGAACTCCTGGCAGTGGAATGCAGAGTCAGCCTGCAATATTGCATTCTAACCACTAGGCCACTAGGCTTCATATCTAACCAAAAGAAAACACACATAGTGGAATAGATCACTCTTTGGCGGCTGTGAGCAGAATACCAAAAATTATTCAAAAGAGGTATGCATATGCTTTTTCTTTCATATTTACCAAATTCTGTGATACCCTATCTACACTCTGCTTCATCATTCTTAAAAGTAAAGGTTCTGCTGAATAAGAGTAGTGGACCATCTTCTCTAGTATTATTTCACACAGTGAAAATTCAGATACTTCTGAGAACTCTACAGGCAACTCAAATGACAATAACCGACAGTGGTTTCTGTAATTCAGAACCAGGAGTCATCCAGCAAATCTAAATGATATGAAATTGGATGTCTAGGGAAACAAGATCTTTTTCACAAAACACATGGTTAAAATGCATTGTCAATTACCATGAGATATGATGTTGATTCATAATTTAAATGTCTTAAAAAGAAGCTTAGACAAATGCATAATGGCCACTAGCCATATATTGGCTATTTATAATAATAATAATCAAATATAATAATCAAATAATAATCCAAAGCCCTTATGTCCTGCCTACTTTTCAGTATCATATATTAACAGGCTCAATATCCTTTAGGTGTCAAAATGCCTTTAGGTTTTTCAGCTATTTTTCAATGACTTTTGGCAAGATAAGAATATCTCTATATTATATATGAATGAAAACTGGGTGCATGAATTCATTGTTAATATCTAATCTATTCGTGCTTATACATAGCTCTATCTTCCAATATTGCCTATTATATGTATGCATAAACTAATTCTAACCTTCAAAAATCTTTGTGACTTAAGATATTATGAACTGATGCTCACCATTAAATTGACTCTTGTAGCTGCTTAATTTCCTTCTGCAGATGTTTGCAATCTGGAAAGTATCCACAGAAAACAATTCATCATTTCTGAAATTGCCTTACAAAAACATGGGACTTCTGCCTATCTGCCCCACCACCATCACCACACACAGATACTTTCCCAGGCAAAATATAAATTTGGCTATGTGAAGCATTATGTTTCTGATTGCATTTTAAAGCCAATTTTTAACTTTGTAATTGTAGATAAGTTTCTTTATAACCTACAAAGATGCGCAGGCCAGCCAGTGCATGTGATGCAGCAACAACAGCAGGATCTACCACTGTCCTCTGGCAATTCTGCAAATAATTCCAAAGCAGTATACTCTCCGCCTTTTTACAAAACCCCTTATCAGGATTTCAGTGTATTTCAAGCTCATAGGATGTCAGGTGAGTGTCATGTCAAAGATTACATTCAGTAATGAAAAAATTACTTTTAATAAAGATAAGAATACTTTAAATCGGTTCCTTTAGTTGGGGGAGGGGCTCTTACTGTGAGCTGTTGAAAGTGATCAAATGAAGTACTATGATCAATCTGCTCAACAAATAAGTTGAAGGTTTTTCCATAAAGTCTCATATAAATAAAGCTCAGTTGCTAGGGTCCTCGTGGACCTTGTACTTATTTTGGCAAAAATAAGCGGTTTGCCATTACTATCTTCTGGAAAAAAAAATTTCTTCCCAGTTCCCATAAACTGAGATACCTATTATTCTATTCTGTTCTGTTCTGTTCTGTTCTGTTGTGTTGTGTTCTGTTCCGTTCCATTCCATTCTTTATTTCTATTTCTATTCAAATCCCACCTTTATTATCTTTACAAGTAACTCAAAGCTACAAGCTCATCTAATCCTCCTCCCTCTTCCGATTATTCCCTACAACAATTCTATGAGGTGAGTTGGGCTGAGAGAGAATGATTGGCCCGAGATCATCCAGTTGGCTTTTAAGGCTAAGGTGAGACTTGAGCTCACAGTCTCTGGCTTTCTGGCCTGGTGCCTTAAACACTAGACCAGACTTTCTCTTTTAATGTTAAATAATCTCTCTTAGTTAAAAAAACTAGCTATAGAAAAATCTATGTGATGGTTGATATAAGTCAAAAGTAGCATTGTTTTGTGAATAACCAGAGATACTAGAAAACTGGAGAAGTATAAATAAATATTTAAGAAATGGGAACATGGATAATTATTGATCAGTGGGCCTAATGTCCCAAATGTGCTTTTTCAAAAGACTTATGGGGGGGGGGGGTATTGAAGATGTTTCACTTCTCATCCAAGAAACTTCTTCAGTTTTGATTGAATTGTGGGAATGGAAGGATTTATATTCCTTGCATAGATAATTTATATACCTGAATTCCCACCATTCAGTCAAATCCTTCCATTCCCACATTCAGTCAGAACTGAAGAAGCTTCTTGTATGAGAAGCAAAACATTTTCAAGGGTAGGGGGGGAATGTTCAGCTGCCTTTTGAAAAAAGCAACTTTGGGAAAACATGACCTGGATGACTGAGAATCTCCATAGACAATGAGACTAATATTAACTGGAGAAAGAATAGGTAGTAAACCATTCACCTAGCATTTGAGTCTAAAAGCAGTTTCCAGGTTTTTTTTTACTTTGATTATACTATAATGTGACATTTTTTAAGTTCAACCCAACTGCTGCTAAGACCCTTCGGGTATGAAATATTGCTCACCTTCTGCATATATATTTTTGCCTCTCAGGAGTTGCAAGTCGTCTGCTCGGGCCTTCTTTTGAACCTTATTTGTTGCCAGAATTAACCCGATATGACTGTGAGGTTAACGTTCCGGTGGCGGGCAGTTCGACACTTCTGCAAGGAGGTGACTTGCTTCAAGCTCTTGACCAAGCCACCTGAGCAAATCTGGTTCACACACACCCCTCCCCCGCTGATACTGTTCCGAGCAGCTGCAGTTTCAAAATATATTTTTGCAAGTAGACAATTTCTAATACCAATTTACATTTTTACAAGATTTTACTTACTTGTTGAACTTGTCCACTTTACCAAATAGTGGCCTTTCTGAAAAGTTAACTCACGTTCTTATTTGCTTTAAAAGAAGTATGCATCTACTGTATTTTTCCTTTTATTCCAATAAAGTGTTCCTTAGAAAATTTATATTATATTATTCCCCTTTGCTGTGTGTAATTTATATGTTCTGAAATTTCCTCAATATTCATGCTAATTTAAAAAAAAAAAGGCTTTGCGTGTGCTAATGCCTGTATGTAATACTTTGGCTCAATTTATTGCAACTGTGTCATTTTTTTTTTTTTTTTTGCCAAAGATTAAGTGAAATAAATCTTTCCCCTGATGATAGTCAGCAATGCCTTATTCAAACAGAAGATCTATATGGCCATTCCCAAACTGTTTCTTAAATTTTCTAGTGTGCAAAAGAATGCAAGTTTCAATCTTTTTACAAATCCCAAAAGAAGAGAAAAATCTGTGTTAATTCTAAGAATTAATAGTGTGTTGCCTAATCCCTGTGAAAATAACAAATTGTAGTCTAATTTAACATTTGGGTCAGTGTCCTCATTTAAAACTGAATGTTCTGGTAATGCAAACAATGGTTTGCAATAGTATGCAGAGGCTATGCATATCAAGAACAGAAAATGAAGCAAATGTGAGAATGGATCATTTAGTTCCTCTGTAACATTGCAAATTATCTTAAAGTGCACTCACAGAACATGCAGCATAGAGACTGGGCTTCAGCGTTTATCCTGATTTAGCTTTAAAGAGGGATGTTTTTTCCTGTTGTGTATCGAAGAGCCAAAGCTATCTGGCCAATCCCTGCCATGAATTTAAACAATATGGAAGTGCCTTCCTTACCTGATCTTAAGAGAACTCCCACAATTCAATGTTTTCCTAAATTAAAATAGGTGGGAAAGTCGCTGACTTTTTAGGTTTTAAGCATGTATTTTGGAAAAGAATCCAAAACAATGGAACTACTGCATTCTATCTCATTTAGATCAGAATTACTGTGGAATCTGTCTAATTAAGTCGAGAATTTAAAAGAATTGGAGATAGTCATAAAAATACTAATCTCCTATATTATTGTATATGATTTAATTCCCTAATATTTTTTACTGAACCATCATGCTGATTTGATAGTTTTGTCTGGGTTAAATATTTCACATACTGGTACTTTATAATATCTTTTAAGATAGAGGCTGAATTATGAATGCTTCTTTGGGATCCTTTTCTCCAGTTCCATCATTTTGTTATGCCATGACAAGAATTGTCTAAAGGTTATCATTAACACTGCTATTTGTAGTTTAGGCCTTTGTTTTCCCCTCTCAGCTAGCCAGCCACACCCCTCACTCTACCAATTTGTGTTCAGAAATAAATACATTTGCCTGCTTGCTTGCTTACTATGCTACAGAAAGCATTCTAGATTCTGGTGCAATTGAGATTTTTGTCACTTTTTTTAGTATACCTTAATGTTGATAATCTTTCCATGCAAATAATCTTTTAGTAGGTTTTCAAAAAACTATTCTGAACTTTCAGAAACACTATAAGAAAACATGTTGGTGCTCAGGAATTTATTTAAATAGAAGGAGTCCATTTCATTCCATATAGTCCTGTTTCCTTTTACTGGGCCAACAGGAACAGCTGTATATTCAATTCAGTAATAATATAAGCTCAAGGAATTTAGCAGATTTAAATTTATTTATTAAAACCATAGAACAGATGTGTACAACCTGAGGCCCTAAGGTCTTATCTGGCCCCCAAAAGCTTTGAACCCAACCCTTAGAGACTTCCAAAAGTTGTTACCAAACAGCAATATTTAATAAGACAAGCAAACTAAAGTTATTAAATGTGCAAGTAGAGATCAGTTCTGTTGTTATTATTTTAATTTGAATTCAGTTTAGATGTAAATGAAATGACATCATATTGGAGAGCTGCTACCAGCTAGCTTGCCCAAGGTTCAGTGTGATGCTTAGCACAGAAACAATTGCACATCCTTTGAATTTTAGTACAAGCTTTAGAAGCAGGGGTGGGATTCTACCAGTTCGTACCTATTTGCTAGAACCGGTTGTTAACATTCTAAGCAGTTCAGAGAACCGGTTGTTAGAAGAAATTACTGGCCTAATCCTGTAAGGAAGGCAGGAAGGAAACATTCTGGTGTTGCTTACACAAACTGCCTCTCCATTAACCCTTATTACGTTCTTGGCAGGACTAGACTTCCCGTCTCAGGAACTTCTCTGGAGTTTCCCCCCGCCCCTTTGCTGGTACTTTGCTTGTGTGGAGTGACCATTCAAAGTTACAATGGCACTGAAAAAAGTGACTTATGACCATTTTTCACACTTATGACTGTTGCAGCATCCCCACAGTCATGAGAGGCCAGGCGAAGAGATGCATGCCTCAGTGTGAATGATACTGAGTTGGCCATGCCCAGCTAATAACATGACCACTAAGCCACGCCCACCAACTAAGCCACGCCCACAGAACCGGTTGTTAAAATAATTGAATCCCACCCCTGTTTAGAAGGCCAAGGTAGAGTCATGGAATCGGGAAATGTGATAATGTTACTTGATGCTGAAGTCTCATCTGCTTAGATGATTATCTAAATTATCTAAATTGGAGAATGGGGTTATGGGGGAACACTCCAGAGCAGATTGGGGGAAGGAGTGAAGACTCTGTGCCTTGAGAAAAATCAGAGGGGAAAAAAGCCCTCTTGTATAAGTGGAAGCATACTTACATGGCATTAAATTCCATTCTTAGAAATTAAAACAGTTTTACTATATTTCTCCTTGTGCTCATTGCCCTCATATAGACAAATGTATTAGTATTTAAGGCTCATTGAAGACAGTAGGGTTCAAGATGTAGCCAAGCGTTTCTCAAAGTTCTATTTATTATCTTGACTATCATTACTACGTTTTGAAGGGGGAAAGGAGAGTTTCAGGCCTATATTTATTTGTGGTTTACTGCTGAAGTGCCTTAAAATGCTTAGTCCATATTTGCTACAAATATGGCTCCCATTCTTCCCTACATGAGAAATATAAAACTTTGTTAGAACTTTGTATGTTCTTCATTGAAGGTATTAATGGAGTCCTTGTAAACTCCAAGCAGTTGCCTGTCTGCCTTCCATAGAAGTTGAAGTTTTGACAAACATCAATGCTCCATCTAGCCAAAGCTAAGTTAATAGAAAGGAGAAAAACAGATTAAATGTGATGTAAATAGATTTTGCTTGCAATTTTGGAAAAATAGTTCTTCAAGCTAGGTAAACTCATGAAAGAAGTTGTTTGCAGAAAGATTTTAGAGTGAAAAATGTTCAGGAATGAGGTCTGCTCAGGGATCTTTGTTTTGTTTTTTTTAAACCATTACACTTTTGTTTATTGATTCAACTTTTCCATAATGAATGGGAAAAGGCTCAGAAATGCTGTAAAGATGCCTTGGTTCTGTTTGTTCCAGGGCATAATCTCTCCATGTTGAAATATTCATACTCAGGCGATTGTTCTGGTCCCCAAATTAGGATTTTCCTCATTTCCCAGTAGCTCACTACATTGTACCAAGGGCAAGCGCTTGTGAAAGAAAAGTCTGGAGCACGTCTTCCACTCAAGATGTTAGCCTTAACATTCTACCACTTGATGATTAGCATCGACAGGTGAGATTGTATAAGGCAGAGGGAAAACTGGGGCCAGTCAAAGCCATCTTTACAGCAAAGGATAAAGAAGTATAGAAAACTCTCCCAATTCCAGAAATTGTTCAGACTGAGAATTGAATCTTCTTCATAATTGATGACAAGAATATCCTCTGTCTCATCTAAATGTAGCAGCCTAAATTAGAAATTATTCAGCAAGCGGTCCAAAGACAAAATGTGGGCCATGCCTCTGAAAAATGCATATTCTAGGTTCACATGAAGTACAAACACAGCCATAATTCTATACCTATACAATAGTAAGCCCCGCTGAAAGAGAAAGGACATAATTTTGGAAAGATATGTATAAATTTGCATTTCCAAGTGTTTGCCTACAGCCATGCAAATTTCAGGAAGAATTTCTCAAAGGGTAGCCATCATAATATATCCTTTTCCAACTTGGTGCTTTCCAGTGTCGATTGCAACTTTAAGAAATACAGAACCCACAATACTTTATATTAGAAGGATATCTAATGTGGAGGAAGACTATGATAATACTTTCACAACTAATTAAGTATATGCCATAATTTCAGATCTGCAGGAAGAGTATTTTATCAGAATATTGTATTTAAAAATTAGGATTTATGAAGCATTAAAGTATTGTTTATATATATATATATAGTTTGTCACAATGCAACGTATTACGACTTCAACTAAAATATATTTAGCGGGCAAATTTGATTTGCTTAATGTGACCCTCATATATGAGTTTGATTGGATCCAATCTTCAGTAATCATTATAAAGTTTTAATTTTGGAGGAAATTAAAAATTAAAATTAAAAATATCCACATTAAGCTGCTAATCTCAAATAGTCCGCTTTAAATGATCCATTGATTTACAGCAATATCTCTGGAGCTAAAGTGATTGAAGCAAAACAGATCTGTTTGTGATAAAGAGCTGTGTGCCTGAATGGCACTCATATATTGCTATTTTATTTTTATTTGTAGTTTCAGCATTCAAGTGTTTACCCTAACCTTTTACTAAAAATACACTGAGGGAGAGGGAGACCATGCTTACAATATTAACCATAACTATTGTCATATTTCATGTTCTATTATTGTTGAATTTCTTACTGATAATCTTGTAATTGTATGGCAACTTTTAACTCAATAAAGAAATGTATTTTGACACTGATACTTTATTAAAGATTACTGATCCTTCCATGTCTTGTGATTCTTGATTCTGGCAAAACAAAACATCAGGAAAGTATCTTTGTGAAGTGCAAGTGTTTATTAAATTGTTTATAGGAATTAAGGTTTGCAATTATTTTTAAACATGCCATCTTGACAACTAATCAAAAAAGTACACTTTTAGAGAAGTCTAAAATGAATCTTATTTCATGTTGTATTTATTTATTCTCTATAAAATTTATAATTTTTATGTTATGATAGAATAATGCTTTTTAAATGGCTTGAAATTTTCCATTAAACAACACTCATACAGACAACATATAACTGTTTACATTCTTTGATCTGCTCTTCCAAGCTAAAAATATATTCCCCAGGAAATTCCTCCTGCTGTTCCTCCTAATCTCTTCCTCCTCCTTCCCCCTTCACTGATAAGAGCCATAATTTGTTAATCAATTTATTATAAGATTTTCAAGTACATATTTTACAGATAACTGTATGAAATTATTAAAATTCCACAGTATTACGAATTAATTTAATCTCAAATTCATTTCAAAATTCTTTTGATTTAATAAGGCATTCTAATGTCTTCTAAAACTATTAAGAATTGGTTATGGCACCAACAACCACATATATTGTCTACTTTTATTACTGGATATTTTCAACTGTTCATGCCATTTGTACCAGATTCAGTGCAAAGTGCAGTTAGTTATTTCTCTGCCATGTTTCTATCCTGCTGCTCCTCAAAAAAAGCCCAAGGTGCTGCATACACAGGCATGTAAGGACAAGTGTTTTGTACAGCTGAAATGGTTTTCATAATACTGAGGTAAGTTACCTCATTTCACCTTTAGACTTGTACAGCATAATGGAAGATTTAGCATCTTTCTTTGACAGCTATTGATGTTCTGAATCATATTTCATCTCCACTGTTTTTCATTTTTGTTTTTAATTATAAAAAGAGAGAGAGGGTTTGACTTTTTGTAATAGGTACTCCATAAAAGCTTAGATCAGTCACCATGGCTAGTCATAAATACTAATGGGAGTTGGAAGAGGCACTCATTCTCCAGTTCAGATACACACTGCTGGGCCATATGGTTTTGAAGATCATATTAACACTTGATTCTATGAACATAAACTAAAAATTTTATTGGGTGGGGGGAATAGTGCATTTCTGTTGTCTCTTCTTCAAATTACTCCCCCTCCTAATACAAATGCAGGTTTTCTCCAAATTGAATAGATTTTAAAGTAACGTAACTATAACAGGGCAAAAGAGATAAACAATAAATCTGTCTCGACTTTTCTGAATAAAAGCTATGAATATAAAGAATGGAATCTTTTTAAAATATTTCTTAAATGGTAGATAAAATGTTCTGCTTCTCTAAAGCTTATGTATATTTTCTACAGTGCCCCTTAGATATCTGCATCTTCAAAAGCTAAATAGCTTCAATAATTTTTTAAAAAATGATGTAGAACCACATGGTGGGCTTGTGGTGAGAAGGGTCTGCTGCAGAGGTGGTATTCTTCAGGTTCTGACCAGTTCTGGAGAAGCAGTAGAGGAAATTTTGAGTAGTTCCGAGAACCGGCAAATACCACCTCTGACTGGAGATTTTACAGGATCCTTCACCTGCCATGCCCACCAAGCCACACCCACAGAACCGGTAGTAAAAAAAAATTGAATCCCACCACTGCTCTGCTGTGAACTCCATGTAGGCATCAGGATGGGCAGCTGGCCAGTAAACGCTCACTTCCATTGAGTTGCCCTGACTCTACCCTGAATTAAGGGATTACAGTGTTGTAAAAATAAAAAAGAGATGTAATGGTTGTTGTATTTAGATGTAATTTAGGGCCTATGGATTATAATCTTAAAAATTACAGGAAAACCTCAATTAACAGGTCATTTGGGAGAAATTTACATGATTTGCCCCACTTTACATAGTTTGAATAATTACATAATTGATTTTGGTATTATTTCCAATAAAACTTCTATTTAAGTCTATTAAATGGAGGGTCTATTAAATTCAGTCTATTAAATGGGAGGGTAATCCAAGCAAAACATGGGTCCACTACAGCCAAAATTACCC